GACCACATAGAGTCTGAGCCCTGCACCCCACACCCTGCCGGATTCTGCAGCGCACATCAGAAATAGCCCAACCTTCTCAGCACCAAGGACAGAGGCATCATGCTCATGGCTGGGTTCATCACTGTATTTCTTCTTTTTCAATAAAGCAGTCAAACTTCAAAAAATAAAAATAAAAAAATAAAAAAAAAAGATATCTTAAGTGAGGGACTCATATTTTAGACTCAAAGAAGAGATTGATCTTTTCCTCACACCTGGGCACAACAACGGACAGTAATTTGCATTAAAATGTTGTCATTAAGTTTATGAGAAAAAAATCAATCTTGTTTTAAAGTTTAATGTGTCACCCTATGTGATAGGATTGTTAGAGAAGTGATAAGATGTTTTTGGCAGAATAAAGTTTAAGAAAAATGATGCTCTGACCTTCAAAGAATTGTACTACTTGTTCTTTATTGTGTGTTTCTTCCGCTGTAATCTCTAAAACAAGAAGGAAAGCGACAATTCTTGAAGATAAAGTAGATTTTTTAAAATTAGCTGACAAGCCAAGCATGTAGCAGAGTATGTGGGAACTAACAGTGAGAAGAGGTGGTCATTATCTTAGGTAGCTAATTAAAGTGACCACACTTCTAACCTACCAGGGTTAATTAGTTAGGGAAAGCATATTTTTAACCAGCTGGGTCAACTTTTCAGGAAGAATATCATTGAATTAGGCCCCAATGGCCCATAAAACTGTTTTTGAGGATAGTTAATAAAAAATCCAGTAAGAGTAGAATTGGATAAATACCATGGGTTTCATTATTGATGAACAGCAGAATACAGCGATACTCAGATAATTGCCACAAAGGGGCAAACAATGTACAAGACTGATTAAATGGAGAAATAAAGGAAATCAATTGTATCTTCACTGTTTTACTTTATATTTCATGGATATATATTAACGTAGGTCAATGATTATTGAGAACTCACAAAATAAGAGCTTTACACATTTTTCCTAATATGACATCTATGCACTGATCCTGCTTATTTTGCCACAGGCGAAGTGAGGTAAAAAATAAGGATGTGAATTTGAAACCCAAGGAAAGAAAGAAAGTAGGGAAATTATGAAAACTCACACATATTTAAGAAAATGCTTAGTAAGGAAATATGGGGTCTAGGGATATGTAATTTATTTAATAACAGGAAACACACCTACTCTTACGTGGATAAATAGTGACCATCAGAGAGTTAGAAAATGCACAGGGTGGTTTATTTTTTTCTTGGCTTGGGGTAAAGTAGAAAAGGGCACAAAAATTATAACGACCATCCAATGCTAACTGACTGCATAAATAATTGGGTATGAAAGAGAATTCATTACACTGTGGAAGAGCTGGGTTAGAAGGCACAGCTACAGGAAGGAAGAAGTCACAGAATCATCATTCAAGAGATAAACTGTGGACACAGAGGTTGTAAGTACATAAATATAATTTTAATAATAAGTAATGCTTTAATGTATTAAGACAATGGAGCTTAGCAAGGCTTTACTGGATGGTCTAGTCTATTCTGATCAGTAAAGAAATTGGTACAGACATAGGGTGCTGCTCTCCTAAAAAGCTAAACTATATCTCACTCAAAGCATTATTTCTCATGCCCCAGGCTGCAAGGTAACAACTACCAGAGGGGTGGCAGGGCAACAGACGTAAACGACTGCAAAATATAAAAGTCACCTGCTATAAATTTGGAGGCAGAAGTCATGCTTATAAAACTTGATTTATTAAGGAAGACAGTGGTAAGTGTTTGTAGCCATTGACGCATTTTCAAAGATATGAGAAGAAGGAAAAGAGAGATTCTAGGAATTCAAGGCTTTCCAAGTACAGGGCAGTATATTCCTGAAATGGAATTTTATAAGAGGCCATTAAAACAAATTTGGTCTAATAGAGACCCAGGAAAAAGGTCAAATTAAAGATCACCCTCCCATCCAGTAAGATAATAAGAGAAGCAGGGGGCTAGAAAACAGGCAAGTAAAATACACTCAGCAGCTGTGTCTGGAAAGGAATTTTAGGTGGCAGAGACAAATGGATCAGAAGTTTATTAAGCTTCTGTAGGCTTATCAAAGAAACTGTTAGTTCATCCAGGGAAGACTTTAAATCGTCAAGATTTTTTAATCCCCAGGTACCTACTTTCTTTCAGTAGAGGAAAGGTTCATTGTAGACCCCTCAAGGAAAATATTGTCTCCATTCTCCAGTTCAGACGTGGCCAAGGTGAGTAGTAAACAATTCTCAGAGATCAGAGACAGAGATAGCAAAAGCAGTAGACAAGGAGTTCCCTCCAGTGAGCAGAATAAAAGTTTAATCAAGGTCACCCCTTCACTCCCAGCATCCTGCCTGGGAACTTCAATAAAATCTGTTCCTGGTGGGATTTAAATTATTTTTGGTGTCAACAGTGTCTGCATCCCATTCTCTGCCTTTCCAAATGGGAGTGATTATTGTCTGTATCAGTGCCTGCCCCATCATGGCATATTGGGTCTGTGTGCTAGAGCGGGGAAGATAATTTGCCTTTTAAATTTGTAGGTCTCCAGACAAAAGAGAGTCACATCTGGATCTGATGGCTCCTAGTGACATGGACTCTGAGCAGTAATCAGTGACCAGATGGGACTTTATATTGTCTCTCACAGGGAGGGGTGAGAAGGATCTATGTTGGGAAGTGGAATAAAATGATTTCATACCCAAAGTGCTCTGTCACAGATAAGAAGATTGTTCCAAGCACTGTCTTCTTAGGAACACAGAGATCTGACCCTCCAAGTCTTTCTCGCAGTTTGGCCAGGGCCCGCGTGATAAGCTCTGCCTGGTAGAGTGCAGACATATGTGATCTAAAACACGTCGAGGTTTGGCCCCGAGGGGTGGCCCATCATTGTAGGACGTTTCCCTGCCCGTCTTTGCCCTTCAGCAGGGAGTTTGGGGTTTGGCTTTTCCAGATCTACGTCTACACAATGGAATGGCCTGATTCCTAAGTCATCCCTGAGAAAGGGCCGGTCTGCGACAGACTGAAATGAATAGAAAATAAAAACTTGCTGTGCTAATACACGGATATTTTGAAGCTTGTTTGTTATAACGACGTAGCCTAGCCTATCTCCTCTAATAAAGGAATAAAGACTATTCATAAAACAGATGGGGAAACAACGCTAAACAAACACAAAGACAAACACTCATGAAAACATGGCGATTAAAGGACAGTGCCCCCAAAGCTCCACGTAATTGTCTTACGCTGCCACACTAACCAAAAAGCAGTGATTTTTTCCTCCTGATTCTCTGCGTTGGGGACACATGGGAAGGGAGAAGCAGTTCCTGGACACGTTGGCTGCAGGAAGCTATGAGCAGCAGATTGCCTCTTGCACTGGCCAAGGCTCAGGAGCCCATCCTGAAATGAGGGGTTATCCAGCTCTCCCTATAGACCAGAAGAAATCTTTGCCCAGTACTTTCAATTCAGTAACTGAAAAAATGTAGAGAGCAAATCCATCAATTCATATACCCACAGCCCACCAAGATCTACTTTCCAAAGCCATCAAAACACAGAAAAGCAGGAAAAAAGACACCAGTAACTCTGGTGAAAAATGAAGGACTGTTGGGAAGAGACACAGTGGACCATGATGAGTGGGATGAGCGAGAAGGTCGGGGGGAAACTCAGGACACAGAATGAGCATGCTGTCCAAGATCGAATATGAGGAATACTGACTGCAACGACTCGAGAAGAAATAACCAGAATAAAATGAGGTGATAGCAACACTACCAAATGTACTTCTCAAAGAAATAATCTTAATGAGGTACATCCACTCAAGTATAAAGAAAAGGAAATCCCATATTCACATATTCCATACGTACATGCTAAAGAAGTAGAGAACATGAAAATGGGTCAGAAAAATGTTAGTATCAGGGAGGAGAGCCAGAGTAGTAATTTCAAATAACATTGATCTAAAGAGAAAACATTTGAATGTAATAAAACTTAAACTTTCAAATGCTATAGAATAGATTTTATAATGCAGATATAACGGCACGAATGTTTATATACCAAGTGACTATAATAACAGCGAAATACAATAAAGCCAATCAAAATGTGCAAGTGAAAAAGAAGACAGAATAAAGACAGACTCAGTGAAGGATTTGTATCTCTATCAGAATACTGAAATAAGATCATGGAAGGAGAAAAAAAAACACTGAATCATATATTTAATTTGTATATAATCATATGTGTGTAGAAATAGAATCATAGGTATATATGATGCAAATATCAAAACACCATGACCCAAACTGGTTTTAAATTATAAAACTTATATATCATATCACAATATAATCAATGTTAATGTGCTGTATCTTCACAATTAATCCTAATGACCCAAACACTTTCTAAATTCCTGCCTTCATATTCTCAGCATTTTCTAACTTTATTAAAGTAAAATTGATAATTAAAAATTGTGTATAATTAAAGTATACAACTTGATAATTATATATATATATATATATATATATATATACATACACATACATATAATGAAATAATAGCCACAACCAAAGTAAGCAACATAAAACATATTCGTCACCTCACAGTTACCTTTTTTTGTGGCGGGAATACTCAATGTCTACCTTAGCAGATTTCAATCACACAATACAGTGCGGCTGACTGTAATCGTGTGTACATTCCTTCTCCAGAACGTCTCCTGCATAACTAGAACTTTGCCCAACATCTCCTTATTGCCTCCCTCTTCCAGCCCCTGGCAACCACTGCTCTATGCTGTAAATTCGATGTGGGATGACTGATGCTTTGCCACTGATTATATTGTATTTCTATGTTGGAATCCAATCAATAGCATGCTTTTCTTCCTTCATGATTCAGAAAACCAAAATAAAAAGAGTAGGAGTCAGGCAAAGGAAGGTCTAATTAATATTTAAAAGGCGATGAAGGTACCAATGTATAATATAAGAAAAATGAGCTCCCTCTGACTGCACCCCAATATTGAATATAAATTCACTCACAGTCATTGGCATCACTGACCAATCTCACAGCAGGCTACCCTTCCTGAGGCAGGGACTGTAACAGCTTTTGTATGGAGCAGCAGAAAGTCGACCTCCGGCAGTCAAGCAGGTTCTGCAAAAGAGAGCAAGAAAAATTTCTGCACTCTCAGTTCATCCTTGCAAACTCACCTTTAAAGTAGGCCCTCTGTTCTGGTCCAAGGTGCACTTGTATTTACCCAGCAGAGTCCCCTTCACATGAAAACTTGAAGCCAGGAAAAAGGGAGGCTTTCTGTTACAATGTATATTTTTAAGAATGTATTTATATGTGTCTTTTGCAAACTTTCAGGTAATGGTGACAGATTATTTTCACTGAGATTATCAATATTTATCCCTAATACATTGCCCCAAATAAAGCAATATTTTACAGATAATATAGATAATTTCTGGTGTACACAAATGCAAGTCACTACTCATATTATTCCATCTTGCTCAAAATATATTCTATCTCAGGAGTACATATATTATATAAAAGGAAATTTATTTATTGAGAACTTTCTGTGCAATATGTATGCATTATATGTGTATATACACAAAAATGTATACATTTTTGATAAGTGGATATGTTTGAAAATGAGTTTTCAACAGATTATCTAATGACTTCCTTTTTCTCTGAGAAGTAGGAGGTAAAATCATCTACTGAAATGAGAATGAGATCATAATTTTGGACAAACTAAGTAGTTTCTACATTTTATTTCTTTTTTATTTAGATGATCAATTACTCTATCAACCTAAAGTACTTATAAGTAACTTGCAGTTATACAGACATATAAAAAATTATAATGCTTCTTTGAAAAAATATTTTAAGCTTCTATTTAAAATATTGCCAGTGAATACATTATGATTTTCCCCCCTAAAGTGTCAAATTTTAACATGTTACATGATGTCAACATAACTTGGAAAGTTTCAGCCTGATTTAAATACAGCAATTAAATCTAACACACAAAATATATCTACTTGTAGCTAATTGCTTTTATATAAAGCATGTTCAGCACTTCTGATTCCTTTTTGTTTCAGAGGAAGAAATCCAGGACTTTCTGACATAGCTTTATGAGCCTGCCAATTTTATAATTGTCAAAAAAGGTTAACCACAGTAAATTTCTAAACCTTTAAAACAATTTAAAATTATATATATTTCATTGATTTGTTAATGTATTATCATTATTTTTATTGATTTGAATTTTTCTTTCCTGGTAAGTAACATTCCCAGTAAAAAGAAAATCACAATAAAACACAAACTCTTGGATACAAAATAATATCTGGCTAACTTAGGTTTTTAATGAGAATTGGGTTAAAGTTTTACACTAATTTAAAATATAGTATAATATAAACCTTTAACAATGTAAAGAATATTTATCTAAAGTCTATACACACCATTTCAAAATTAAATATATAAATATACGGTTTATAATTTTGCATATTTTTCATTAAAGTTATTGGGGTAACATTGGTTAAGAGTATTATATAAATTTCAGGCATACATCTCGATAATATGATGTCCATACACTCTATTGTGTGATCACCACGCAAAGCCTAATCTCCTTTTGTGACCATGTTATTCGACTCCCTTCCCTTCTTTGTGCTTACCCCACTTTCCTTCCTCTCTGGTAACAACATTCTGTTGTCTATATCTACGAGTTTGTTTTTTTGTTTGTTGTTTGTTTGTATTATTTATTCATTTGTTGCATTTTTAATACCCCCACATATGAGTGAAATCACACAATTCTTGCCCTTTTCTATCTGACTTATTTCACTTAACATACTGATCTCAAGATCCACCTATATTGCCACAAATGACAATATTTTATCTTTTTATGGCTGAATTGTATTCCATTATATATATGTACCACATCTTTTTCTAATCATCTGTTAAAGAACACTTAAACTGTTCTTGCCAAAATTGAAAACACTATTAGATTAAGAACAAGGATCTTACCCATACATTGATAAATTAACAAACTAATATACTAGACTCTTACTAATGATAAAAATATAATATCACCACTCTGTTGAGAATTCTCAAAATCTGTTGTTAGATTTATGAAAAATGCTATAGAATAAATAGGTAGTTTATGTTAAATATATGCTCTATATAGGAATTCAAAAATACAGTAATTTGCACAAGAATGTAAATCCTTAAGGGACTACCTATATTTGTCTTTCTTATATCTTCAGGCTTAGCATAATATCAAGCAAACTTACGCATATCTTACATACATGATGAAATTAACAAAACAGTGGTAAAACTACAGGGTAAAGATTGATTTAATTTAATCATTAATGGAACATTAGAATATCAGTAGAGCAGCAACCTATGTACAATCATAATTTTGATTATAGAGATTCACATTCAGAAAATAGTTTCCAAGTTCACATGGTGACTATAATTAGAGACTGTATTTTAGAGGTCATCATATTTATACTTAAGTTTTAGATTTAGCTATATTTTCAGTATAGGAGAATAAACATTATAATTCTATTCCAATAAAATTTTTAAAATATCTGTTTCAAAACAAATCAAATAATTATACATATAGATTAGAAAAGATATATTATTTAGTAATAATTTTCTTGTAGAGTTCAGGAAAAATAGATTTCTGTTATATTTTTCTTCTTCATATAAAGGTAAATATTATAAACACAGCAATGACATGCAGTTTCTCCCAGATAAGAAAGCAATGTGGTATGAATAAATGGAGCACAAGAAACTGTTTTAAAAGCTAATCCATTTTTAACAATGATAATTATACATTAAACTACATACTAAAGATATTTACATCTGAAATAAATTAAATAAATGTTATTAAACTGTCTTTAAAATGCTGTACTGTAGTAGAATGGACATTGAATTGGGTTAATCATTCTAATAACTATTTGTATGAACTTTGGAAACCCTTAACATATTTTCCATGCCTTGAGATTCTAAGCTATAAAAAAGCAGTGCGCCTTAGACTATATTAAGAATTTTAGGCTTTATGAACCATATTCACTCACTTCATAAACTGTCCTTTCCTATTAAGAATAGTGCCTCTGGAAGCTGCATTAACTTTTTCTGGCTAATTAGTTTAATTTTTGTGTAAGGCATAACTTTGTATGCAAGGATATGTGGCTTCATTGAATTCCAATTATTTCCACTTATACTAAATTATTTAGCTTTCACTCACTTTTTGGCCTTTTTCTCTTTTGAGTCTAATGAATTAAAGTCATAAAAAGATTTAGAACAAATAAGATGAACCATTTACTTTGAAACCATTTGATGGGCAATAATGAAGTAGTCATTCTATAATCTATTATCTACATTTAATTTGCATTGGTTACTTTCTCCCAACTATCCTACAAAGGAACAGAAATATATTGCTTGAGATATTTAGCCTCAGTCCTACATTTATTCTTAATTTCTAGTTCATGATTGACCTTGAGAAAATAAAAAGTTAGTTTAGTATTAACATATCTTAAATTTTTGCCTAATTTAATAATATTATGAAATCTCCAGTCTTTTTAGAGGGCAACCAAATTTATTAATTTACTTAAAAAAACAAACTTTACACTCTTTTCTTTTTGGTATTTTTTAAAATCTGGATCTAATTCTATATTGTTGCTGTTGTTATTTTGCTTTAATAATTCTTTCTTTGTACTTAAAAAAGCCTCAAAAGCCTAAGTTTAGGGTCCTGATTGAGAAAGCAGCAGACCAGCTAGAAACTTAATGGTGAAATACTAGAAATGGAGAGAGTCTCTGGCTGGCTGGAAACTCATAGGCACACACTGGGAAGAAACAAGAGTCAACAGAAGAAAGCTAAATTTGAAGCACAATTTAAATTCTCCTGGCTCTTGAATGTTCAACACAACCCACATCAGATCCACTGGCAGTGGTGGAAAACTTAAACACTTGCAGAGTAAGCACACAACTGTTGCCCAATTATTGACTAACCAATAAGTTAAACAAATAAAGGTCAGCTCCTACAAGGAAATGCTAAAAAAAATTAAATGACAGAAAAAATGATGGGGCAGAGGCTAGAAGCCTCACATAGTGTGGAATACTCCTTATCAAATAAGTTCAGACAGGTTATAAACATAAATAAGTAAATAAAAACTAACATGGAATTCAGAATTGCTACAATGTGCTACCTGAAATGTCTTAGAAATATGAGAGAGAGAGAGGGACAGAGAGAGAGAAAATTTGAAGAAATATGGCTTAAAGCTTTCTATGTTTGATGAAAAAATATTAATCATAAGTTTCAATGCGTTGATGAACTCCAAGTAAAATAGATACAAATACACCCCCACACAGTATTTAACTACTAAAATTAAAACATGGAAAGTCTTGACAGTTGCAAGAAAAAAACATCTTCCACATACAAAGGAACAAGAATGTTATTAACATATGATTTCTTATCAGAAACTATGGAGATCAGAAGACAGTGGAATGAATGATGTATTCAAAAAATTGGAGAAAAGAAAAAGCTGTCAATCAAGAATTCTATGTGCAGTAAGAATAATTTTTAAAATAAAAAATCAATGTGAATAAAGATATGCCAAAAAATGAAAGACTATGAAAATGTGTTGCTAGTATACCTAGCTTACAAGAAATACTATAGGGAATCCTTAAGCAGAAAGAAAATTATTACAAATAATAAATCAAATCTATATAAAGAGTTCAGAAATAATAAATATAATGGTTAATATGAAACATGCACAAATACATTTTCTATGTCCTTTTAATTTCTCAAAAAAATTAATATAGATTAGTAGTTGTAATAATCTATTATTTAGTTTATTTTATATATACTAATAATGCTGTACACCATTGTCATGAGGAGAGTGGCAAGCCAAAATTAGAGAAATATATAGGAACAAAAGTATCCAGGGTGAGAACAGTGCACCTACAATACAAAGTCCCAGTTAGGCACAAGCAATCCTGGGAGAGGAGAGAAAATCTGCTTTGTGAGAGCAATGTAAAGCCCTCAAAATTTCCTGAGACTGAAAAAGAAGGAGAACAAAACTCTGCAATTTTACATTGGGGATTATCAAGGTAGAAGGTAATGAAAACATAGTATATGAGCTATTAAGAAGATACCT